GCTGAAAGCAGAGGACTTGGCTTGTACCACTCCTGCCTAGGGCTCTGTGTTGGCATATGCATGTGTTTAGGAAGATCTAGTGGTTTAAGCTTGTATTTGGCCTCCATCCAAACACAAGTAAAAATTCTTGAGAAGATCATTGCATGGGATTGTTGTAGGGAGCATAATTTCTGTATTTATCTCTCCTCTCATGGACAAATTTTGCAGTTTCTCACTCCCTTGGAGTACTTGTCCTTTCCACTGTAGGATCTGGCAGGTTTTTCCCAAGGGGAGGAATTCTGTCTTTTTCACCTGCAGGGCTCCAAACTCTTCAGTCCTTTCACTGATGACAGATGCAGAGCTCATTCTCCTTTTTCCCCACACCCATGCCAGCTTTCCCCCTGTCCTCCACAGTGCCTTTTACTCCTGACTGCCCTTTTCTGTTGCTCAGATGCCCTCCTGCAGACTGCTGTCCTTTTGGGGAAAATGCACTGCTCTTCCTTGCACATACTCTGAAGTCTCTTCATCACTTGGCCATTGAGTTTACCCTGCTACCTCATACTACCCAAGTGTCTCATTTGCTGAAAATGCCTTGAAAGTTCTCCTTTGAACGTTTTTTCTAGCATTCAGGTACATTTTGAAGCCAGAATTCTGTCTTCTCACCCCAGGAATGGAGTGGAGATGAGTGAAAAGACGCCCAGGCACAAGTGCACTGCCTCCAAGGGAGGATGAAATGGTCCTGAGCTGCCTTTGGTGTGATGTGGGGAGGATGTTAATAACAAGTGGGAGCAGACTGAGAGAGGATTTAAGTTCTGCCTGAGCAGCAGAGCTCTGGGCTTTGGAAGGAGACTCCTTGATCTGCTGCTGGTGCCTTCTGTGTGCTGGCAGAGCTGTGCTGAGGTTCCATCTGCCCACAGTGCCATGGTGGTTTCCTGTTCCACCCTTTACAGCAACCATTCATGGAGTTCTCATCACCTTGCAGGCTCAGTCTGCACTCCATGGCATTGGACACCCATTTTTGAGTGCTTTGCTGCAGAGAGATGAGATCACTCAGGAGTTTGATCTTCAGCACACATTTGACTATCTTGACTTGGTGTCTGGAATCACTGCCTTCAAAACCACTGTAAAAGAATATGGGATTTGCCAGTTGCCCCAACACCTCAGTCAACAATCTGAAACCTTAAGTTGTTTAATCTGCCATTCCTAGCTTCATAATGACTGAAAAAAAATACCTTTATTTCTATTTTTTCCTTTCTAAATGTTAGAAAAAAGTTTCTGCTTTTGGCAGAGATTTTGTGGGCTAACTTTCAGGGCAAAATACTGGGGTTTGAGTAGGGGATTCTGATGGAAAAGCTGAGCAACAAATTCACACAAGGTTCTTCTCAATTATAGAAGCCAAAAGCTCTTCCAGATGTCTGTCAGCCCTGCATGCTAGATGCTGCCATCACTGGTTTTAATAAAAGCTCGTATTCAGCAAACTTTATTACTGATTTACTGTACGCTGCTTAAGCCAGAAAATGTTTTTTCTCTAAAAAGAAAACAAAGACCTGATATTTTCATCAGTTGCACTCCAGCTTGTCATTTACTCTGTTAAATACCAGCCCTCTTTGACTATTTTCTGTAGCTTGCCATCATTAAAACTGGAATTTCAGAAACTCTTGTCAAGGAGTCCATAGGCAAGCAATGCACATGAATAAATCAGTAAATGGTGCGTGCAAAACAGGCAAAGCCACTACCAGCACTCATACGTGACATGCACAACCAGCCAGGCAGTTCTGTGAAAAGTTACCTGTTTGTACATGCAACTAAGACATACTCTAAACTAAAAAGAGAGCTGAAAAAAACACAGGGAAATGTTATAGAATAAATACAGGAAAATACGATGTGACTTTGTGAATACAAAAGTGAACAGAGCAAAACCAGTAGAAAAATCATCAGGCAGAGAGTAGCAAATGAAATCTCTGAACAATGATGTAATTAAAGCCCATTAATCACTATAAAAGATCATTTCCCTTTAAACATCTGCTCCTGTTCACTTGGCAACAGCCTGGGCAGTGTCATGAATGATGGGGGTTTGGATTATGCTGAAGGGCATGTGTTATCTGAGAAACAAGGTGGAACAGCCCCAGCTTGACAGGATCTGGGGCAGCAGTGCTTTCCCTCAGCTCAGGGATGGCACTAAGGAGGTCAGGGGAAAAGAAATGAGATGGTGCTTAGAGTGGAAAGGAAAAGCTTGTATAAAATGGAACCCCACCTTTTCAGCCATGCAGACAAAATTTAATTCGGTGTCAATGGATTTAAATAAACTAATTCCTCTGGGGAAAAGCCCCTGCCCACCCTGCTGTTTTTCAGAGAGCCATAGCTTGTACCTTGTTCTGCCCCACTGAGAAGCACCACAAAATTCTTCTGAGCCCTTTCTTTGTGGCAGCCTGGCTGTGCATGAGAGAGTGGGATGAGGCATTTCTGGAGAAAAAGCTCTGACCCAAGGCCAGTGTGCAGGAAAGTGTTGTGACCATCCCTTACTGCCCTGCAGTCTGTGCTTGGGTACCAGACAGAGCAGAGCTTCTGCAGTGCTGAGTGAAGCCTCTCATGAGCTTTGTTCTGAGCTGAGTGAGGAGTCATGGATTGTTGTTCCACCTCTGACACTGGGCTGTGTCCCTTGGGTAGGATTTTTTTACACCTGGGGACTATTTTTTTGCTCACATCTGACTCCTTGTTGTGTTTCCACGCTGTTGGTGGCATGGGCACTGGCTGTGGGCACAACTGGTGGCTCTGTGCATCTGCATTTTCAGTTTGGCTGTGCCTGAGGCAGGGAGGGGGAGCCACTTGTGCTCCTCTTTCAAGGACACATCTGAAGGTGGAACCCTTTGAGACCCACTAGCAGCAAAGATGCAGCTGCAGAGCAAAGCTGATTTTTATGCTGCTCTTGTTTCCTTAGCAAATCTGTAGCACTTGGGGACAAAGGGATGACACGAGTGTTGGATCCAGAGTACTGTGCTTCTACCACACTGGTCATTCATAAGGTCACTCATGGTACAAACTTGGGAAGCCTTTCCCAGCCTCTGGAATTGAGGCTGTGTTGGTGATGAGAGACCCACATGGGTTTCCAAGGGAGGCAGACAGATCCCAGATCCCACCTGGAGAGAGGAGGACTGGGGGTGTGGACACTGTACATGATTATGCCTTTTCATTCATATTTTTGGTAGTTCTGTGAATTCTCAGAGGCTTCATGTTTTTTCTATCTGGGCAGATATTGGGTGAGAGAGTGAAAATGAATTTAGCTTTGGTCTTTGCTCTTTAGTTACAGGTGAAATGATCTGGTTTGTGCTTGTTCTTAACAATACTTGCCCTCCCTCACAGGGACTAGCAGGTTTTATAAAAGAGATGGAGGAGGTTCAGATAAAAAGTATGTGGTTTTCTGTTTCTCAAAGCTGGTAAAGCCATACAGGGGTATTTAAACAGAAAATCAAAACAAACCTCTTGGCTTCTCCCAGAAGCACAAAGATTGATATTGCAGAAGCCTGAAGATCTCAGCTTTATGTGCTGCTTTCTCTGGGATGTTTTCGGTGTGCTGTGGATTGTTGCCAGCCAGGTGCTGCCATGGCACCTGCACAGCCCAGCTCAGGGATGTGCCAGCTGCCTTGGCACCACGTTCAGTGGTGAGGGAAGGGGAGCCTGAGCAAGCTGCAGCCAGGATCCACTCACCACTGAATCCCCTGTCCCCCATCAGCTCCTGCTCTGCCCAAGAGCACAGTGATGCTTTCCCCTAACAGCCCTAATTCCACCCAGTGACTTCCAGGGAACTGAACTGGGGCTGTGCTCTGTGTGGCCATGGGAAGAAAAGAACAGCACAGAATCTTTGGGTTCTCTGCTCAGCATCTGTTCTGGCCTTGAACCAAAAGCTGCAAGTTTAGTCTTGGAAAATTCAAATAGGTTTCCATTGCATTGTGTGCATTTAAAAAGATAAAAAGACAATTAATTGAGAAATTTAGCTCCAGGTTTTTCTTGCCTGGTGGGTTCTTCAGTTCTAGACACAGGCATTGGTTGCACAGGGAACAAGGGGGGAATATTATGAGAGTAAAGGTTTCAAGGAAACCTGCCTTGCATAGGAGGAGTTGTGCAGGTATCCAGTGTAACAAACCTTATTGTACTCACCCCGTTGTCTTCACCAAAACTTGCAAACACAGGTGTGTAAATCTGTGCACTTAATGACACATTTTGTACCATCCAAAACATCCAACCCTTCCAAGGGAAGCAAGCAGCTGAAAAGGTCTTTAGCTGCAGGTAGGCACATGAACTGAAAATGGTGGTGTGTACATGAATAGACCTATTGATTTTATACATAAGGTCTGAAATAATGATTTAGTCCTCCTTTCTGGACTGTTTATATAATGCAGAGGTTGTAAACTTTCATGGTGCTATAGGTCTTGTGCACACGTGAAGAATTATGTTTTTCTTCAGAGATATAAGTCCTAGATGTTGTTAATTTGAATTTTTTGGTTGCATCAGATAAAGTTGCTCATGTGAAAGGGATTGTCCTTGTGTCACTGCCACCTAATGGCCAGGACATTGTCGTTGGGTGCCTGGTTTGGGTGTCCCCTGGAAAACTGATCCTGTCACCAGTACTAACTTTATTACCTTGTAAGACTCGATAATGATCTTAACTGCCCTCAGCTTCATTTTCAGCCTGTTACAGTCTGCTCTGCAGCCTCACTGGACACTGGTGTGTGCATTCTTCCTTTGATGGCATATGAGAGATCAGGAATTTAGTTTTTGTATGGCAAAATCCAGAAAGAAAGGGAAATCATTAATCAGATGGGTGTAATCTCCAAGGAAGCAAGTACTGCATTTTAATTCAGCATTTCCCTTTGATGAAAACTTTAGTGAATGTTATTATGTGGAATTTATATGAAGCCTGGGTTTAGGTAATCAGCTTTAATATTTATACTCTTAGGGAAAAAAAATTGAATCATTAGTAAGCATGCATAATTAATGAATAAATTGTATTTTTCCTTTGTTTTCCTTCAGGTATAAGGAAATGCTAGATCTAGTGATATCACCCAGTCTGACTGTAAATAGAGAGTGCCCTGACAGACTGAAGCTTAACCTTTCTCACATTTATGCCACGGCTCCAGATGACATAGAAGGTAGGCTGCTCTTCTGCTTGCTCTTTGCTGCTTTAGCATAATATATATCAATATATGTGACCAAAGGGAGCTGGCCACTGCAAGGCCTCTGCTTCTGGCAGTTAGTTCTACAGTATAGTGAGCAACTGAGATTTTTGAGATTTGTTTTTTTTTTTTTTTTTTCTTTTTGGTGGACTCACCAATTGTGGTTGATTCCTTTAGTTCCACAATGGCTTGAATGCAAATGGAATAGAAATATTTCATATGTAAATATATATCTGTGCATAGTTGGTGCCTGCATTTACACACATGCATGTGTAGAGTTCTGTTCACTGGCAGAATTGCAGGTGTAAACCTTATTTTGTGTAGACCTGGTAGTTTTTGCTGGAGCCCCAGTGGTGGTGTGAGCCCTGGGCTTTGGTGGCTGTGCTGCTGTGAAGTTGGGGGCTGTGGGGGCTCCCAGGCCCAGAATTTGAGCAGCCTGAAAACCTCTTGCCAGAGCAGCTCTGTGCCCCAGTTTGCATTGCTCTGAGACCACTGCTGCCATCCCCAAATCCTTAGCCCTGCTGGCCTCTGCTCTGCAGTTTCACATTTGGCAGGTACCAGGGACAAATTCTTTCAGTGGTTGAGGCTCTGGTGGAAATTTATCTGCTCTCCTCCTTCTCCCCCCCTGCCCCATCATACTGTTCAAGCAAAGGAAACAGAAGAATGTTAAATCTGCTAAAAAAATTATTGGCAAGTGATGCAGCTGAACTAGTTCTTGCTAGTACAATCCCAGCTATTGTTTGCTGCGGTCAGGATCTGTCAGCCTTCCTGTTAGAGGGGAGTTAGGAAAAGGCACTGGCTATTATGTTTTAGGAGTATGTTTAACCCTTCATTTATAGGCTCTTAGGAGCCCAGGAGATGTTTTGTTTGCATGTTTGCTCAGGCATTAGGAATGGCGTGGTTAAATCACGCCCGTCCTGACTGCCTATTTACAGGAGCAGTGCAAGGAATAACAGCCTAAAGGAAACATCCTTTTAAATGTTCCTGTTTGCAGAAGAGATTAGAGCTAGAAATGATTTTTGGGTACATCATTTTGTAAACATCTTGGTGCAGGAACTGTTTTTTGTTATGTGATATAAATAAGAGCCAACACAGGAGCTGTACCTTGGACCCCAGTTTGCCAGTGACAGCTCAGGTTGATTTGTTTCTTATAGAAATATTATGGTGTTTTTTCTACAGAATGATCCCCTGTGCTACCAAGATTGTGCTCTTTCCCTTGAAAATACTTCTGGTTAATTTGAAGAACAGGAAAAGGCTTGTGTTTTTGAAAATTCTCAGACTGACAGAACTCTTAATGTAATAAATGCACAGAAATTTATGCTCTGTATTACACATGAAGTATTAAATTTAGCAAGTCTAATCATTGTACTTACTCATTTAGATGTCCATGTAGCTGTTCTTTTCATGAGTGCTTGTCATGAGATGTGCAGTTATATCAATATAATTTTCAAGTGTACATTTTGCCTGTAGGATCAACTTTGCCTTTTCTTGTCAGTGACAGTAGCATATTGCATATTCACACGCAGTAAATTCCTACTTGGTATTCTTGGCAAACTTACTTACTCTGTACCAAAATAAAAAAAAATTTGAAGCTGTGGTTTTCACAGAGAAAAGAAATGAGGCTTGTGTTCAAACTGTTCTGCTGGATTTTTGATGTAAAAGCCATTAAGAATTAAAGAAATTCATTTTAAAATGCGTATTTCTTCAATGCAGTTCTGTTTGGTAATGAGGGACAGACAAATGGTGTAGTTCTTGTTCTCACAGTCTGAAAATCTAATTTTCTAAACTGTTGTCTTTCAGGTAAGTCAAAGCGAATTTTTCATAATGAGTTTGAAGGTGACTCAGGTAAGCCCAGTATTGGATTTAAACTCAGTCTTTTTTCTATGGATGTGTAAGTGAATAGATATATTTGTATAACATTTTTCTTTGTCAATAATATGTGCATTTGTATAACACTGTCCTATGTCAGTGTTTTAAACCAAACATCTCTGCCTGTTGCTTGGGAAATGGTTTTACTTTACCACATTTTATAGGTACAGAAAGCAAGGTAGGGTTGCAGGTGGGTTTTACTTTTCTAAGGTGTTGGAGGGTTGCAGGGGTTTGAAAAAAAGAGTTTTTCTGGTTTTGTTTCTGTCAGTGATTAGGGTGATCCTGTTAGTGATTAGTCTTGTATAGGTTTCACCATTAATTACATAAATTAACTTTCTAAAAAATGAATGATTCCTAGTAATTAATATTTTCAGTAAGAACTCATGGTGATGCAATTTTTATTGAAATTCAGTCTCAAAAGTTACCAGATGAAATGGCAGTGTTTTTAAAAATAGTTTGGTGTAATCTCCATGTTAAAGTATAAAATGATCAAGCCGTGTAAAATGTTGTGAAAAAGAGAGATGTAAATCAGGATGAACAAACATTTCAGATGTGAGCATGTTGGATCTCTTTGGTCATTCTGTCCATGTTTACAGCACAAATTACCCAAACCCACAGGACTATTTGCATGTATTTAGACTTTATATGTACTTGCATATTTCATGAAATGAAAAATGGTTTAAATGTTTAATTTGCCAGCTGACCAATGTGTGAACAGAGGAAGTTGTGCTGTTTTGGTCACTGAAGGTGGGTGTGTGTGAGTCTGGGGTGTGCATTGGTGCAGCCAGGAGACACAGAGGCCGAATCACTTCTGCCTTGTCATTATTGATGATTGTGAGAGTGTTCTGGCATTTACAGAGCTGAATTAATGACAGCTCCAGCCAGGAGCTGGGCACCAAAGTCTGGATGGCACAGTGAAAGCAACCTGAAAATGATGGTATTTTGCTATGATGTTTTCAGTACAACTCGCAGATTTTAATTTAGTTTTGTTTGGTTGGTTGGTTTTGGGGTTTTTTTAATTTTTAGTTAGGTAAATGTAATTTTATCTCTGAATGGAGCTGATGGCACATTTTTCTTTGGTAGTGTTACAGCACACAACTGTTTGGTCCATTAGAAGGCATCTTGCACATATCACTTGTAGGATAGCTTTTCTACTGATCTAATTTTTTGATTGCTGGTAGTTCAATAAGGTATGCTATAGTTTAAAAATTCAAATTAAGGAGATTTACGATGATGTATTTTTAATATTTACTATTATTTGATATATTTTAATGGACATTAAAGAAAGTGAGTCATGGTCTAGAAGAGTACCAAAAAAAGCAAAAGATCAAAATGTGAAGTGAGCTTAAATCACTTCAGCAATCATAGTCTTGGCTTTTATAGCCTTTAGCATATGAGTCATTGCTTCAAAGCCCAGCTTCACAACTGATACCAGTCCCAGGAGAAGAAGAAACTGGTAGTTCAATCAACTGGTACTACCCTCAATTAAAAGCTAAATCTATGTTTGTTGTTAAGCAGAGAATATCTCTCTTTTCTACCTCAATTTGGGAATATTAACTTAAAAATAAAAAGTCTTTTGATTCCTGTATATTTTTCTCAAACCTGCAGTGTTAAAAACATTGTATCCGCTTGGCCATCGAACAGAACACGATGAAAATCTAAGAGTCTTTAATTTTGTTTTCCAGGCAGCAGCAAAGCAGCACCACAGTGTCCTCTCCATCTGTACACCACGAAGTGAGTGCTCGTGCCAAGTGCTGTAATTTCAAATCTGTGTTTTGCTGAACAGCCATTTTGTGCAGACTTCTGTCACCTCAAAAAACATCTGCCCTAAGCCCATCCACCTGTTCCCCCACACATCTCTGGCACAGTGAGGTAGCTGGTTCTTAATCTCCTTGGATATGGAGTGAAATAAGGTTTGAGGTACTGTGAACTGTGTTTTTGTACTCCTGGGTATCCAAACCTTATCAGTTTGAATATTGTTGTGTTTATGAGTGACCACAGAGGGGATGTGTCGAAATGTCTGAGGTTTCCCATTGCACTCACTTGACTGGAACACTCACAATGAAGCATGAAAAACCAGTGTTGATTTTATTTTATTTTTTTAACTTGCATATATTTTGCCCTGTCTTAAAGTTGCCATGAATTTAGGTGGCTTAATCTGATAGTTCATAAAACAAACTTCTGCTCTGGTCCAGTCAATCCCAAGTTCCCAAAACATCCAGCATCCTGTGTTGAATGTTATTTTAGCAAGATGTCTACAACTGTTCTGCTTGTGCTCTGGGAGATGATGTACAGTAACTATTGCCTTAACCCCTTCTGTTTTCTCATTCTGCATAGACATTATCCTCACATAGTGACAGTGCCATCCTTCCCCACCATGGCAGCGTATGGACAGGCTCAGTACAGCACGGGAATCCAGCAGGCTGCTGCCTACACTGCCTATCCTCCCCCAGGGCAGCCCTACGGGATCCCCTCCTACAGTGAGTACTCTGAGTCCTCCTGCTGCTGGAAAAATAGATTGGGAGTCTTTCAGCCTTAGAGTGAAGTGGCATTTGTGTCTCAGCGACGTTGTCTTCTTAGGCTTAGAGGAAAGTGTGACTTGAAAAATGTTAGGTTTACTTTGAACTACATCAGCCTTAAACCTATCAGCTTTTCATATCATGGGCTATGTTTTTGCAGACTAGGTAAGTTTGGAGCCAGTCAGCAGTAGACCATGGGAAATTCAGGTTCAGTAGGATGTGCCACTTAGGAGTAGTAGCTCATGAGTGTTCCCATGATTCACTGTCAAGACAAAGTACAGTAAATACAACATTTATGAAAACTACACTTTGCCATCCTTGATTCTTCCTGAAGTTCCAATAACACAAACCACTTTGAGAAATTTTTTGTGTATATTATTACAGAAGAACCAAAATGCAGGGCAGAATAAGGCGTGGGTGAGATGTTACACAGTACCTTGGTTTTGGAAGACAGTTTGTGTTTAAATGGACGTTTTTTGGCTATATGTGCAATCAACATTTCTAACCCCAGTCAGCTTTGTTCCCTGCTTTTCTGCACAGCCTTGCCAGCAGCTGTGGGGAGACAGGAGCAGCTGGGGGATTCGCACAGGGAACTAATTAAACCAGCACTTCTGACAGAGGAATGCCTGCTAAACCAAGCCTTAAGTGTCCTCAAGCTCTGCATGGGAATACCGAGCTCTTGAGGAAGCTGAAAGTTCTTTCCACTCCTAAAGACCAAAGAGATGTTGCTCTTATTTAGCTACAGCTCTTTAACAGAAAGATTTGGGCTTCTTGCTTCTGGTTGCTCCCATGAGGGCTGAGTCTTGCACCATTAAAATAGTTTTGTTTCCATTCCTGTTTTCTCTTGTACTCTTAAACACCTTTGTTTAATTGGCAAATACAGTATCTCTTCCCAAAAGAGGTTTTCATACAGACAGAGCTTTTACTGAAGGGAAATTTAGTGCAGCACTCTGGAAGGCTGAGGAAGTGGCCTTGGCAGAGCCAAAGCTCTACCAGGATGATGAGAGGAATGTTTTGAGACCCTTTCCTGGAGCTATTTGTGTGTTTGCATCAGCTGGCTGACTTCCAAGGAAAACTCTGAACAGTTGTCCTGTTAGAGCAGGTGAAAGTAGAGCCATTTGCTACTGCCTAGAGGCTTTAGGGCATACATGTGTCAGGCCCATATGCTGCTTATAAATCCTGTGGGTGACCTCTTAGCATCCTTGAGCAGTGATTTCCCTCCCCCAGCCCCTACACCCTCTCTAAGATACTCAGCACAGTGTATGAAAAACTCCACCTGGCTGACAACCAAGAACAATGAAGCAGTATTGTTTTTAGGCACAAAAAAATAAAACTCGGCCAGCTTCTAGACAAAACAAAACATTGTGTGGAAATTAATTTGGTGCTAAGTTACTTTGCTGTCTGACAACAATTTTTAGGCTTCCAAAGAGGCTCATTCGCTGAAGATGAATTGTAGCTGGGGTGGGTAGGTTGAATTCTGGGCTGTGGAGTGCTGATGGAATGGAAAAGGGGTGTTGGGAAGAGGAGCTTCTCTGCACACACTTCTCTTCCCCAGCAGTGATGAAGCCACTTCACTGCTGGGGAGGTGGCACTTGTCCCCTCACTGTCCAAATAAACTTCCTGCCTTTCACAGTCATCTTGTTACGAGCTTGTGCTCAAACTCCATCGCAGTTCTTCTCACCTAAAGCTATAATAAGGGATTTCTATTAGAGAAAACATTATCTGGGAGAACTTATTCCAAACATGAGCAAGCACAGACTTGCTGCTTCTAGTTAAGCTAGAAAGGAGTGTGTTTGGGGAAAGGCACCTGAATTCAACTTGTAGACAGGTTTGCCTGCAAGTGCTGAAGGATGACAACAGCGTGGAAAGTGTGTAAATCCATGGCCCAGACATCAGCAGGGTCTTTGTTTAATCCCAGCACCCAGGGAGTGTCCAATGGCCATCTTTTGTTTTGCAAATAGGATGCAAAGGAGGGAAGGATCACGCCCAAAGGGTTCATAATATGTTGCACCTTTGAGCTGTTTATTTTAATAATACAGCTGTACAATCTCAGCAGCATCTCAGAATAAAATATCAACTCCTTTCATTACCAGCAAGGGTTTCATCTTGCAATGTTTAATTCAGCTATTGCTGTTCCTCCTGTAAATTGTCAGTTTAATTGCCTGGTTTTAGAAATGAAAAGATTTTCGTGGCTTCAGGGCTTACCTATTGTTCCTGAACTGTATGTTATATCCAAGTGAGTAGATGATAACCCTCCTGTAGAACTTGCCAATAAATGTTTTGATACCAAAGCTGAAAATACAATGCAAGTAAAAAATAACTCATTTGAGAACAGAAATCTTGAGGTTATTTTGCTGAAGGTCCTGTTCCATTGTTAATCATTGCTTGCATCTGATAACTCTTCAGGAAGTTTATGTGTCAGTGAGTTTCTTCAATTCTATAGCAAAACTACATGTTCAGAAATTGTTTTTGAAAACATTATTATTCATGGTTGTTTACCCATCTTAACAAAAGTGCATTTGGGTGTGGATACAGGATATAGCTGACTCAAATTTGTGATGAATTTGTTTCGCTGTTAGGAGACCTGTTTGGGTCATGGAAAGAATTAAACACACATATATATACATATATATACACATATATATATTTATATTTTTATTTATAGTTTATTTATATTTGTATTTTATTTGTATATATGTGTGTTAGTGTGTGTGTAAAAGAAAGTGTAAAAAAAAGAGACTTTATTAGGTTAAAATCCAGCTGAAAATTTCTTAATTCCTACACTTGCTTTTTTTTACATCTCCATATGACAAGCACTCATGTTTTGCTCTTGGTTCCCACTGTGCACCCCGAAGGCATTAAAACAGAGGACAGCCTGAGCCACTCTCCAGGCCAGAGTGGATTTCTCAGCTATGGCTCCAGCTTCAGCAGCCCGGCAGGACAGGCACCCTACTCGTACCAGATGCACGGTGAGTGGGGCTCGGGGCTGCCAGGGGAGCTGGGGGCACTGCCAGCCCCATCCTGCACCAATTCTCCTCCTGCCATTGCTGGGGAAAGCTGGGGGCTGAGTCTCTGCTTTGCTCATCAAGGCGTTGATTTCTGGCTGAGGGACCGGGTTTAACGGTATGATGTCCCAGCAGAATCTCACCTGTGATCAATATCAGCTTTGTCTTTCTGCAGAAACTGTGTTTTCTTTTTCTTGATTAGTTCTGTGACTGCATGCCTGGGATTGTTGTGTTGGTGTGAATTTCTGCATTCTGATGGAAGCAAAACAAAGGTGGTTTTACACTTCATGCAAACAGCCCTGTCACTATTATGCTTCCCTCTGCCTTATGCTGGCTTGAACAAACTGCTCTGTGCTTAAACTGCTGCATATTCTCCCTACTATTATTTTTTTAACAGCCTAATTATTTGATACTAAGAAAAATGAGAATGACTCTGCTTGAGGAGAGACGAATGTACAAGAGGATAAAGATCTGCATTGACTTTGTCTATCCCTCTGAGACTTTCCAAGGGTTGGAAAACTAAAAAGGAATTGCAGGGCTTTCCCAAACTCTTGTAGAAGCTGTGGAAGGGGAGAGAGATCAAGTCTATCACTCTGCTTTTTGATATTGTTGAGGGTTTTATGCAAAAAGCCCCATTGGCTGTCCCCCTTGCAAAAATGTCTTGTAATTCTCTAAATTCTTCTCAGTCCTGAAAGTGAAAGGTGGACATACACATATATTTTATACACTTTTATTTTAAGTCTGAGAGCTACTAAAATCCTAAACAGTTATGAAAACAGGGAAAACAAGGTAAAATCCATTTTATTCCAGATATTATATAAGAAAGCTGAAGGGTAAGAGTTGACCCTGGCTAAGACTTCACCTGCTGGTTTTGTCAGAGCACGTTATCTCCAACACTAAGGTGGTTTTTGGGGCTTGAATACCTTATAGTACATGCTGAAAAAACCTGTGTTGGATGTGGAACCAAAGAAAAAAAAAGAAGAAGAAGCCCATGGGTTTGGGGGTTTTTGTCACTGGACTCCTAGAGGTTTCACCTGTCCTACTTCCACATTTGCTGTTTTGAAGGCAGACTCTTGACTAGGACTGAAGTTTTGAAGGTGCTCCCATTGTTCAGTCAAGAGGTTTAGACAAGCAGATTTTGTGCATCAGCGCTTGAAAAAGTTACACTTGCAAAGAGCAATGGCACAGCCATGAGCTGTGCACACCAGGCTGTGTGTGAGCACGAACGTGCCCCAGGGCCATGCTCTGCTCTTAGGTAAAATCACTTCTTTTCAGATATTTCTTCCAGGAAGATCATTTCAGCCAGCTCAGTAAGCCTTTCATGCAAAAGAAAATCGGGGAAAACAGTTTGTGCAAGGGGCAGGTGCTTACTCCAAGGCACAGGGAGCAGGAGTAAATGTGTCTTCCTGTAAACAAATATTTCCACCCTTCCCCTTGTGAGAGGAGCAGTCTGCACTCCCTGGCTGTATGGTTTATTTACCTTGCAGAGTGCTAGTGAGAGGTTTGAGTGAGCAGCCAGGAGCCTTCCTGTGCTGAGTGCTCCCAGGAATGTGGGCTCAGGGCTTTCCCACGCCACAGCATCCCTCCCTGTCCCACCCAGCTCCAGGACCACAGGGGCCTGGCTGTGATGGGCTAAACCAGCTGAAAAGGGCAAGCTTCTATCGAGATATTTTTATGAAAATATGCTGGGAGGGCTTTAACAGTCAAGCTTCTATCTCCCAGTTCAAAGACAAAATGTTTTTTGCATCACATGGGAAGAGTGATCATGAAGGGGGTGATGGTCAGGGGCTCAGTATGAAAACTCCAGCTGCTGCTCAGTTTTCTATTACAAAGTGCAAGGGAAAAAATTTCTTTTTTAAGCTGTTCTCTGCAGGTATTGTAAGGTGTTTGTAGCTCAGGTACAGAAGTGAAATAAGTTTGTATTGTTTGCCTCCACTGAGAACCAGCTCCCAGAGCAACACAATGGTCCCGTGTGTGGGTGAGGGTGGGTGGGCAGATTGCTCAGCCCTCGTGATTGCTCCTCACTGTCCCCTCAGATGTGAGTTACAGCAGCAAACACGTGCCCACTGTGGGTGTTACACCCCTCACCAAGGAGCAGACAGCCTCTTGGGTGGCAAACTTTTGTCTGCCAGGGCTCTGGGACAAATGCTGTCCTTCGGTAAGTGCCAGCGTGGTTGGTGCTGGTTTGTTCCCTCTGTGCTCGTTTGGCAGCAGCACTGGCAGCCTGGGATAGCTGGGAGGCTGTGAGCAGTAAATGGTGTTTTTGGAGCCAGATTCTGCTCTCTGTTCAGGTCTGTTTGTTTGCAGAACAAACACAGGTGATGCAGGTGCAAAGGGGTAGCATTCAGCTTTTCATCCTGAACTCCAGCTGTGAGTTGTATCCTGGTTCTTGACCAAGAACAGGATCCATTAAAGAGCAAAAATGAAGCTATCACAGCCTTTTGGTCAGTAAGTGGTAAAGAAAAAGAGCTATTTTACAGCCAGCCAGGAGGGGAAACCTATTTTCATGATTCCCTAGTATGAAACAAAACTGATTGTGGAAGGGTTAACCAATAGCTAATGTCACACATTGCATATTTGTACATATTTGTACATATTTGTACATATTTGTACATATACAAATATAGAAAATGAGATTAGCAAGTTCCATAGCTCATAAAAATGACACAAAACCATGTTGCAAAGGTACTGTGGATTGAAATAAAGATTTGAATTGCCAAGTACCAATGGATATCAACAGGCTTCAAGTAACATTCAGACCGAAATCTGGTATTCACATATTTGCTCTGAAGGAGTGACCTTTTTCCTCTCTTCTTGTTTTTTTTTAACCAGTACTGTGTACAGGGTTGCTCCATGTCATTATTGCATTAAAAAATTATTTGTTTCATAATGAAGAGATCTGAAATATGCATGTGGCCAGTCTGGGGATGGCACTCACTTTTAGAGTCATGAATCTGGAGAGGAGGTTACAGCTTGCATTAGATTTTTGCCTTTAAAGTGGTAAATTTGTCGTGCTGGGAAAGAAATGTTTCTTCAAGGTCCATTTCATTTCTTAATCAATCCTCATTTAAGTGTTCAGTTACAGCACCAAATCACCAAACACCCTGGGCTTGGTATTAAAATATATTTCACTTTTTAGCACACATTTTTTGAAGTCTACAATTTCTGACAATTTAGTAGTTCGGTGATTTGCTCAGACTTCTGGTAAAATTATTATTCAATGATAGAAAATGAACACGAGACACAAAGATTATCTTCCAGTTCTGCCCTCAAAACCTTACTGTCTTCACTGGCAGCTGAGGAAACTGCTTGTTCCTGAGGGTAGGGGAGAAATCTTTGGAATATAAGAAACTTAACATTTAGTGAGCTATGTAAAATACAAAGAGAAAATTGTGCCAGCACATTAGCTAACCCAGAAACCCATCAGCTCAGCAGAGAGTGCAGTCACAGCCAGCTTACAGAGCATTTCCTGTGGCTGCAAGAGCATGTGCTGCCCCTTGATTGCACATTAGGCCATCTCTTCTCAGCTTGTCATTAATTCCTAGACAATGCCTTGCTCTTCAGTTGTAATTGCTGAAATGACAGCTGGTATGAAACGATGAAGTTGCACAACAGTTAAAACCGTGGCCAATGACCATTGTGGATGCTGTTGTTGGGCAGGAAAAGATTGGACTGCTTTTTTGGGGTTTTTTAAAATCCAAATCTATCTACCCACAAAATACTTTTTACATTACAAAGGAAAAATCAGTTATGTAACTGGGATAACTTTCCTTTGCCAAGGAATTGCAGAGCAGTGTTGAGCTTGGGGCAAACATAAATTTGGGACCAAAGACCTACGCAGTGAAATTTTTTGCTACTGCTGAACATTTGTTTTCTTTGTAGAGGCCTTCTGATGAGCTGTGAAGTAGTGAATGAATAGAAATTAGCATTTCTTTTGTGCAACACTGATTTAAAATGGATTAATTATATATATTGCTTATGTTTGTGGAATGAATTAGTTATGAATTGTTCTCCTGGCCTGAGAACAAGTAAAATCTGAATAATTAATCAATTATAATGTTTTCTTATGCTGAAAACATTTTGACCCTTGTTGATATCTGGATAATCCAGACAACATTTTTCCTAAGAGAAGCCAGAATTCCTTGCAATTGTGTGCCAATTTGTGTGTTAAAAATTTAATACGAGGTCATAAATACCAATTTGGCATGAACAGTTACCTCTGCCTGCATGAATTTTACAAAGGAAGTCCATGTTTAGTTTTGAACTTAATTCTTGAAGTACTCAGTGATGAAAATAGTGATGTAATTTCAATCTACACCTGAGAAATATGGATCACACTTTGGCATCCAGATCTTGAATCCATGTGAAGTCCCAAAAAAAGGAAAGTGAGAGCATGTTCTCAGCAAACTGTCACTCAGATGCCTTAGATTGATCAAATTAAAACCTCAGTAGAAAAGGAGCAGCCTCTTTCAAAAGCTTCTGCTTCACAGCTGGTTTGCATTAATTGCAGTCTAAAACCATGGCAGTAAAGTTGTGCTCCACGCCGTGGTGGGTTCAGCAGGGAGAGGCCTCTCTTCAGGAGGGGTCAGACCTCACTTTTTGCAGTGTAAATACAAGGTTCCTCAGAATAACAGCCCAGCCTCCCTTTCAAAGATTTTTAAACACCAGGGGCTGACTGTGCTCCATTTACTTTGTTTTCAAACGAGCTGACTTGTAGGAGAGGGAAGTCGGTGGGAGAGGCAAAGGTGTTGACAGTGATGCACTGTGGGCTGCAAGGATCTGTGCTACTGCTACCCAAAGGAAAGCCCTGCTCTAGCTCTTGCCATTTAATGGAAATTAAATATTAACTGGTACAGTCGAAACAGGAGTCTTCTCTGAGGCAGAACGTTTGTTTTGGAGGTGTCTTGTGTCTCCTTGAGAGTTTTGTGTGACTTTGTCATCAGGGTTGTGGAGGTGGCACTGGG